CGTGCGGGAGGCCTCGGTGCTGGACAGGGGCACCTACACCTGCCGGGTGCAACAGGAGCCCGGTCCCTCCGCCGCCCTGAGCGTTCCGGTCATCGTGGTCGCCTACCCTCCCCGCATCACCAGCGAGCCCACGCCCGTCATCTATGCCCGGCCCGGGAGCACAGTGAGGCTCAGCTGCCTGGCCGTGGGGGTCCCCAAGGCTGAGGTGTCCTGGGAGCTGCCCGATAAGTCGCACCTGAAGGCGGGAGCCCAGCCCCGCCTCTACGGAAACCGGTTCCTGCACCCTCAGGGAGCGCTGACCATTCAGCAGGCCACGCAGAGGGACGCCGGCTTCTACAAGTGCACGGCCAAAAACATCCTGGGAACGGACTCCAAAACCACCTACATCCACATCTACTGAGCTGGCCGCGGGCCGGGACAAGGTGCACGGGGCTCGGCTCTTCAGGAAGGGGCCACGGGATGCCACTGTGGAAGGAAACCCGGGGCTTGGGCTTTGGCGGCCACCGGGACACCCAGGTGGGAATCCTCGCCTGCCCCTCGGTGGGTTCCAAGTCGGGCTCCACTTTGACTTGAGCTCCTCGGAATTCCAGTGCAGGTCAACTCTGATTTCAGCTCCTTGGGACTGAAGTTGGAGTCGGCCTCCTGAGCTGTTTCGGTGTTGAAAAGATGCAGATCTTGACCTCAGCCCCTCAAGGGAGAATTAGAGGTCAGTACTGACCAACTCTTGGGTTTCAAGTTGAAACCTGCAACCAGGCTTCTTGAGCGGTGAAGGTTGATCCCGACCTAGACATTTTGGGCTGCACTTTGAGCTTGACCTTGAGGTCCTCCGGCCTTCAGGAGAAGATGCACCACGCGCTAGAACTGAGGTCAACCTTGACCTCAAGCTGCGTGGGTTTTCAGATGAGATTCAGTTTGTCCCGGGCTCCTTGGGTTTCAGGATGGGCTTAAGCTTCACCTCTCGCCTGGCATCGCCTGGGAGACCGGGTCCAGCTGCGATTTCTGCTTTTTTGCAAACATCACTCAGCTGTCCTCTCCGGCGTGTGCAGGATTCTTCGCCAGCGGCTTTAAGGAAACCGTCACAGCGAACAGTGCCTGCACACCCCACAGAAGATGGCTTTCGTGTGACAGAAAATTCTACAACAACTCATCTCTCCCTTGATGTCTTCCGGAGCTGCGAACCTCCAGTGTGTCCAACAAGGTCCCGAGACCACAGTGATCATTATTTCTGTTTAAACCCCCACTTCCGTGCTTTACGACTCACATTTTAGATGAAAGAACTCTTTCTTCCCGGAGGTCACTTTTTATATACTGTTATACATAAATATATTTTTGTTCTTTCTAATGAGACGGTGAGACAAGCAAGGGAAACGCTTTCTGTCTCATTAAAAAATAATAAATTATTGGTCTTTACAAGACTTGAGTAAATTACGGCAGATATGGAATTGCAATTAATAAAAAACTCAACTTTCTCTCTAATCTCCTTCAAATTCAATAACCACCCTTGTCTTCCTTTTTTCCCGGGTGGGGATATTGAACATCCTTGCACGTAAAGTTAATGTAGAAAGCTGTGGTCTGGGATACCGAGGGTTTGGGCGGGAGGAGGAGTGGAAAGACAAAGCTAAGTCGTGGTCTCACCAATCCGAGCACAGAACCTTCCAGAACAGCCTGGCAGCTTCGCTGGAGGACGGAGCCCTCTGGGGGGGTCCTAGGGACGTCCCTCCCTCCTCACCTGCAGCAAGAGAGCTGCCGTTCTCACGCTTGCTCTCCCGGACTCTGAAGCTCCCCTTACTGGCATCTGACAATAAAATAATATCTTCCAAATACCCTGGCGATGTTTCTAGTGGCTAAAGAAAGGACTTTGACACGGATGTGGGGTGCATATCAGAGCATCTGAAAACAGGCTCCGGGGGCCCCTTACATCTCATCCCATGCCTATGTGTCCCTCATGTCCAAGGAAACAGAGTCAGAGCATCAGCCGAAGGACTCCAAGGAGCTCTTTGTCGGGACGGAAAATAACTGGACACAAGTCCGATGACCAGGGAGATAATCGGAGGATGGCGGGAAGTATCCAGTGCTAGAACACCTGCAGAATTTTCTTTTCCCTTTTTCCTCACATTCACCGCCCTTCCCGGCTCTCTCCCCTCCCTTTTCTCCCCCACGCCCCTGTGCTGTTCTCACCCTCCCAATGCTGCCACCACCTCCCTCTCTTTCTCTGGGCGAAACGCGCGTGAGGGTATCCACCCCAGCACTCCCCAAATGTGAAAAAGTATCCACCCGTTGTTTCACCCCGAGAAGAGGAGAAACAGCAAATTTAAGACAGACGCACGTTAGGGAGGCCACGTGTACATCTCAACAAAGGGGATGTTTGCTGATTATCCCAAAAGACGATCACGGAAATATAAGGTGTGCTTCTTTACTCCCTCAACTCGGGAACACAAAGTTACT